GCATGGAGAGAGTAGGAGAGGGGGCAGCATGGAGAGAGTAGGAGAGGGCGCAGCATGGAGAGAGTAGGAGAGGGGGCAGCATGGAGAGAGAGAGAGGAGGAGATGAGGCAGCATGGAGAGAGAGAAGGAGAGGGGGAAGCAAGGATAGGGGGGAGCATGGAGAGAGAGAGAAGGAGAGGGGGAAGCATGGAGAGAGAGAAGCAAGGAGAGGGGGAAGCATGGAGAGAGAGAAGAGAAGGACCCACAATATATAAAAAATAGGAGGAGGAAAATCTAAAGCTGTACCCAAATAAATGAATAGAGAGATCAAACCATAACATGGCTGAAGATACACTGATCCAGCTCCCCACATTAGGCCACCAGAGGGCATACAATAGTGTTTAGACTCCTATTACTTCTATTCATCTGATCTAAATGCATAAGAAATCATATTGTACATGAACATTTAAAACAGTGACCAAACTGATGGACTCATGCTATTACAGGTCACAAGCTTAAATTAAAAAAAAAAGAGAGAAAGATAGTAACCAAACTGGCCAAATAACACTGTGATTGGTTGACTTTGAATTCATCCAATCAGATTGCTGGTCATTTTACACATCGTGGGAAAGTTCCCACGCTGTGTAAAATGACACAGAGCACTCTGATTGGTTGGATTTCAAGTCAACCAGTCAGTGTTATGAGTCAAATTGCAGGGTGTGGGAAAGCTTTATAAGCCTTTCTCCACCCTGCGGAGCTCAGTCTGCTCCGCCGGATGAAGATGGACTAATTTTTTAGCGTAGGATTTTTCTTTTTCGTCAGATTTTATTTATTTAAATTTTTTTGCGTTTTGGTGTTTTATGTTATTTTTTACATGTTCGATGGGTATTTATGCTTTTTTGAGGCTGGAAAATGAAGATTTTAGAAAAAAGACATCGAATGGTAATTTTATTTATTTATTTTTTTACAGGCACTTAGTTCTTTTATTCTCCCCTCACTATTTTTAGAGTGAGGGGGGGTATGTAGGTGTTTAACAATTTTTGTTTTGATTTGCGGGGAGGGGGGCTTGGGGACTTGCTCTTTAGGGCCCCCACCCCTCAATAGCCCTCCCCCCATACTCATTTAGGGCCCCCACCCACCGCTCAGGGGTGGAGTCGGGGGGGTAGGGCAATAGGTTCCACCCTTCATTGTTTTTTAGGGCCTCCACCTGCCCCTCAGGGGTTGGGGCCGGGAAGGAGGACAATAGGTCGTCCCCCTCTCATTGCTATTTAGGGCCACCACCCACCTCTCGGGGGGTAGGACAATAGGTTTCCCCCCATACTTATTTAGGGTCCCCTCCGGTGGTGGAGGAATAAACCCCCCTGCTCACTGTTTAGTAGACATGACCCTACACGCGGCATAGCAAGTAGGGGCATTTGGGAGATTTCAATCTATTATGAGGGTCATATTGACCTTCATAGAGTGAGGTAGGACATTGGGGACTTAGGAAGTGACGGGGATCACTGCTCCCTGCCGCTTCTATTTTTACATTTTATAAGGAGGGAGCTGCGAGGTAGCTCCCTCCTTATAATAAACTAAACGAACACTGATACTCAGTGTTTGCTTGTTCGTCTGACATTTCTATTCATTCGTCTTTCTGACGAAAGAATGAATATATGAAATTCCCGTTCGCATGCCCAAGTGTTTAACTGGGCATGTGCAGGAATCTCACAGCGCTATCTAGTATAGGCAGATGACGTGTCCCACAGGGACTTCATCTACCCACACAAAGATGGCGGCGCTCTGAACCTAGGTTTACAAATATGTAATATGGGGTGCTTTGGGCATTTGGGGGTTACTAGGGGGTCAATTAAATGTAGTGAAGGCAGGAGGGGAGTTAAAAAAAGAAACCGTATTCGCCCATTATAGTGCGGCTTTAAACTAATTATCTCCCAGACAGTAAAGGTACAGAAACAAAGTAACCGATGTTCGGTGGTTAGAATGTCCGACTTGGAGTTTTCTAGCGCACATGTTATTCGGTTATACGAACGGCGGCTCTTAACTTTGTGATTACTTTGAAGTTAAATGAGCCAGGGGAGTGGTCGATGTCCGGTAGAACAAACTACCGAATGCAGGGAAAATAACTGGGGCAAGGAAAATTACAGGGTTGTCACAGTATTTATATAGCTTTTATAGAAGCAATTATTTTACCCACTATGTATGGTTGGTTGTGGGCTTTTTTCTAGATTTTGAAACTGAAAAAAAAAAAAATTCAGTTCTTGGCAGCCTGCTACAGCATGTAAATGCTCTTCTTACCTAGTCTATATATTTATATATTCTTTTGATTCAAAGAAAAACAACATTGCTATTTTGATACCTATCGATCAAAATTTTAGCGCAAGTGCGTTTGGTTGGTTTTTTTTGTTTGTTTTTTAGAAAGGGTTTTTCAATAAAATATGTACTTAAATGTATCTAATTTATTTTTTCCGTTTGTGTGTGAGGGATGCAATGTATGTGTGTGTTTGTGTGGGGGAGGGGTGTAGTTGTATGTAGGTGAGTGAAAATCGATTTTAATGTCTCCTCCTCCTCTTCTTCTTCTTACCTTTCACCAGGGAGGGGGGGCAAAATGCTGCATTGGTAACTTGCGGCAACGTTCCGACCAGCAGGCTCACGGGAGGATCAAGGCCCTTCCCTCCTTCTGCTGGAACCAAGTTGCTTTCATCGCTTGTCACTTTTCTCATGACAACAATATCTTGCATCAATCTCTCTTTCTGCGCATGCAGTCTGTGCAGCTGCCGGTAGTTCATGGCTTTGTACAGGAACATATAATAATCCCCTACCTACACCCCACTGTCCTGGGACTAATGTACCATGCTGTGCTGTTCTATTAGGTATATAAGGGAGTCTACCAAATACTTGTATGTGTCTCTTTTCATAAAAAAGGAGCACTATAGCGTCAGGAACACAAACATGTATTCCTGTCTCTATGGTGCTAAAATCACCATCTTGCCCCCCCACCCCCTTGCCTCCCTAATTATAGTAAAGGCTTACTTATTTGTTTGCACCTGCTGCCTCTGCCCCTGTTTGTCTCTGTCCTGTCTGCGGACATCATCAGAAGTGGTGTTCTGACATTTAAAAAATATAAAATTTCATTCTAAAAACTTGTAATATTTGCATATGCCCATAACACCCACTCCATTAAAGCCAGAGTTTACATGATTGCCTAATAGCACCTTTAGTGGCTGTCACTCATACAGTTCCTTGCTCATGCACAAAGGCCTCCCAATGCTTTCATATGGGAAAGCATTGGATTGGCTGAGATAATCAAATTTGATTATCTCAGCCAAGGAGGCAGGGCCCGCCGCAAAGAGCCCCATGCGGCGCTGGATAAGAGAGTAAACTGTGGGGCTGGGGAGATAACATCCACATTCAGATGTATAGTGTCAGGAATACATGTTTTTATTCCTTACACTAGTGTTCCTTTTCAGGGGTTAATCACATCATTTGTTTAACCCCTACATTACTTTAAGCACTTTATATGTTAAAAAAATGTATTCATTCATCCTTTATAGAGCTATTTTGGAAGTGAAAGCTTTAGACAATGTTTTACACAGTGTTTGAAATATTTGTAAAGAATGCAAACAACAAAATACATTTTTCCTTACAATCAGGACATTTGACCATTTTTATCTGGGTTTGTCACATCTGCTGTTTGCAAGTACTTGCAAGGACCCCAGTGGCATTCCTGGCAGTTCAGATTAAAAAAAAAAATGCTTACCTTTATGCCTACATACAGATAAATCACATTTAAAAAAATTAAGGCATTTTAAATATTTTTTTTTATAACAATCTCTACAATGCTAATGTAATGCTGAGAGGCATATGAGAGAAACTATTGATTTCTCCCCTTCTACAAGATGGTAATCATTCCGGAAGTAAACTGTAGTTAAGAGAGGCTTTCTAGACGCAAAACAAATGAAAGTGAAAGTGTGCCGTTGTCAAGCCTGGACATGACAGAGTGCTTTTATGAATAGGTAGATATATTGAACATGTAGAGTAGAGAGTTTGATACCTATATGGTTACGAATTGGAAGTTTCTATTTAACATCTATTCCTAGCCAGAAAGGTTAGAAGCAGCCCTAGTCACACCTTCCTGTGTGTGACTTGCACAGCCTTGCTAAACACTTCCTGTAAAGAGTTATCTAATATTTACACTTCCTTTATTGCAAATTCTGTTTTATCTCAAATAGCTTTTCTCCTGCTCTATTAATGACTTGGAACACCCTGCATAAGCCTTCGGTGTGTGATGAAAATGCAATCTATAGATACCTTTAAAGTAAGGTACTGTCTGATTGAAAATGAAACCATTTTTTTCATGCATACTGTGTCAGTCAGAGCGAGGGTGAGTGTGTCTAGGGCTGGATGGACGGAAACACAAGTGATTTAATTACTAAACGGCAGAGAATTGAGCATTGAGGCTTCAGAAGTATGATCTATATACAAAAATGTCTTCAAGTTGTTTTGGTGACTTTAGTTTTCCCTGAAAGTGACACATTTTCTTTAACTCTCAGTACATTTCTTTCAGGTGTTTCCGCGAGCAGAATTTATCCCAAAGAACATGACAAAACCAGAAATGCACAAAGCAAGATTATGAAGCAATCTTCCAAGGATCAAGTATTCAAACTCTCTGAATCCTATATGTCTACAAATGAGCTAGTAAACAAAAAAAATTCACATGTTCTAACTGTGAGAAATGTTTTACCCATCACTCAGCTCTTGTTAGGCTTCACACAGCGGAGATGCCGTTCTCATGTTTTGTATGTAGGAAATGTTTTTTTTAACTAAATCAGAACTTATTATACATCACAGAAC